AAAGACTGAACTTGGAGAATAAGAATATTTTGATTGCTGCCCAACTTATGCAAATACTGTGCTTTGGCTGCTCAAATTTTGAAGAACTGTTGCTGATGTTTTGTGCTCATTAATTAATTTTTAAGTTGGCTTATCTGTCCTTATTTTTAGTCCCACTCGCCCGTTTTATTCAGTTGACCTATCCTGCCTGACATGTATGTTATAAATTCTGTAGAACAGGTACAGCCTCCTTTGTAATTGCCTTTATTGCGCTTAGTGCAAAATGATCTTGATCTTTGCTTTTCATTCCCAAGCACTACCTGCTTAATGATTAATAAATACACAAAATATTACCATCATTTATCAGTAATTCTGCATCCAACAGATGTCTATTTACATACCCAGCATTGACATGTCTCAACAGCAAATGTAGCAACCAGAATACAAATGAGAACTTCATCCTTCCAGGAATAACAAATATGTCCCCTTTTACTGCCAATTTACCAGCTGGATCAGACAAATGTCTTAATTAAAAATACATCAGAAAGGCTTCCAATCAAAGCATAACATAAACACTAATATTTTAAAAACCTGAAAAAAAGACAAACAGTATTTCTCTCACTTAGGCCAAACAGCTGTACACACAGATCTGTAAGACAAGCTTGTACTTGCACTTGATGTGTGCTTGTACTCTCAGCACACATCACTTCGGAAACTGAGCAGCAACAACCACAGTTAACGTTTTAAAGACAACATCCTGAAGCTGGACACTCACCTTCTGTTTCACCTTAATAACACTTAAGCACATACCTAATATTTATGCCCTTATATAGCTTCCTGAAAGACCTTAAGATGTTCTGATCCATACTGTTTTTTACAGTTTAGCATCATGTTTTCAGATTGCATTCTCACTGATAAATTAGCCCAGTGCAATCGGACTGCAAGATGGGTCCTTGCTTACATGATGTCCACCATCTTTACCAATCCACCCTCTATGGAGTTCGTTAAAAATAAGTGCCCTTACCAAAGTTGCACCATTCATCTCCTTTGTGACTTGCCTGAAGAAAGAGATGTAATGCAGATACAGAAGTTCACAGGTGATTTCAATGAGACATCAAGAAAGCTTGCAAATTGCAAAGAAAGCTTGCAAGAAAGCTTGCAAGAAAGCAAGAAAGTCTGTAAGTTGCAAAAGCCCACTTGCAAATCAGGTTCTTATTTCTGAAGCATCTTCAGCAAATACATGTTCTTGCTTCTCAGTGCAAACCAGAGCTGTAAACTGAATGACTTTTGATAGTCATATTTTGGAAAAAACAGGTATGTATGAGGAGGAAATAGCACTGAATTCTGTCAAATCCTTGCTTTACAAGACTGAATGTGAAATGCCACAAACCTAGCACCTTACAAGTAGCAACAGAGGCTCAAAGATTAGAGAAGACCTTTAGGAGACTATGATTGTTGATACACAAAGATAAGAAAATAGCCATAAGCTTCTTCAAGAGATGAAAAACAAAATGCTTGATTCTAGGGAATAAAGACCAATAAATGTTCTCTCTTCCCGTTTCAGTTCTGTTTAATAAAGACAGTGTCTGTTGTTTCTTCAGCACTCTGTTTCACTCGCTTGAGTTTAGCCCACACAGCCCATAGCAGTTCACTCTGTTAACCCTCTGCAAGTATAGAGAATCTCTATTCCAGGATGAGAGGGCAAGCCATGGAATTGTAGATCTGTTCAGAGTCACGCTTTTTGTGTGAACTTTTCTTACTGAATCTTCTGCAGCAATCAGCCAGATGTAGCAATCTCTTTTCATCTTTTTTTTTTCTCTGCACAGAAATGGTTTCCATTGCAACAGAAAATATTACTCAACTTTACAACGCTATGACCACCCCAGAGCTCAAAATGAATCTGGCAGATTTCCACAATGCTTCAGGAGTGTATCAAACAAATGGATCTGGATGCATAGATTCAGATGCCTGGAACTGGCTCTACACATTTCAGCCTGGATTCCTCTGGTTTATATTTATTCTGGGAGCAATAGAAAATGGATTTGTCCTCAGCGTCCTGTGTTTCCACAAGAGTCGCTGCACGGTGGCTGAAATTTACTTAGCAAACATGGCTCTTGCTGACCTGATGTTAGTCTGTGTTCTACCTTTCTGGGCCATTACTATTTCTAATAAGTTTGAATGGCCTTTTGGCCTATTCCTCTGTAAAGCCGTCAACTCAATTAGTTACATGAACTTTTATTCTAGCATTTATTTTCTGACACTAGTAAGCATCGACCGCTATCTGGCCTTGGTGAAAACCATGTCTCTTGGACGGATGCGACGAACTGTCTGTGCCAAATGGAACAGCTTCATAGTCTGGATGTGTGCATTGCTCATATGTTCTCCTACAATCATGTTCCGAAATATACGGTATTTTGAAGAATACAATATCACGGCCTGTTCCCTTGACTATCCAGCCAACTACTGGCACCCTATAAACAACTGCCTGCTTAATATTGTGGGCTTTGTGATCCCACTCTGTGTAGTTGCCTATTGCACCATTGAAATCATCAAGGCCTTACGAAGTAATGAGTTACAGAAACTCAAGTTAATCCAGACAGAGAGGAGAGCCACTATGCTGGTCCTTGCTGTGCTTTTTCTGTTTATTATTTGCTGGCTTCCATTCCAGATCAGCACAGTAATCGACACAGTCTCTTATCTAACAGACACTTTTGAATGCCTCGGAGACATCAATGAAATAGTGACCCAGGTAGCAACGTACTGTGCCTTTAGCAACAGCTGCTTGAACCCAGTCCTGTATGTTATTGTAGGGAAGCACTTCCAAAAGAAGGCTGTGGAGTTCTATAAGGACTTGTTCCCAAACAGGTGCAAAAAATCACAGTCTGTGAAGATGGAAAACTCCCTGGACACTTTAAGAACTTCTATTTCCAGTGAATGCTCAAGGAAAAAGTCAGTTGTCCCATTACCACGATAGCACACTTTGGTCTTTATAGAGAAAAACATAAAACTTCTAACATGTAAGCCGCTACTAATACCCATGTGCTACGGGTCCTGAGCATAAATGTGTGACAGCATTCATTGTTTGTGAGGAACCAATGGTTGGATCTTAATGCAAACTCCACTTAGATACCTGCTTCTAAAGCTATCGTACGTTTGTCATGGTCACAACATACAATGTGGTATATTTACATTTTCATGACTGATTTATATTAGCTGGCATCATTATTTGAAATGTTTGTATTTCTAATGAATATAAGTGGCTGGATGTACATACAGTTCTCTAAAAAGAGTCCCAGGATAGAAGCTACTGTCAAGATTATGTGACTACTTATGGTACCCATACAGTTTGTATGACTACTTTTTTGATAGGAGGGACTCATATTTAAATAAGTTTCTGGAAATCTTGTAAGAATATGATTTTTAGGAGTTGCCATCTTCCATACCACTTCCTTCCGCTGCTCAGTCATCCAGAACAATTTTATTTGACTGGCAAACTGAGCCTTTATGCAACTACTCTGCAAGCAGAGTACGCAGCAGAGCAGCTTTTACGCATGGAATGTAACTTAGTCAAAGTCACGGACAGGAGGGTGGAAGCAGCTCCCTGAAGCTGAATTTTCTTTGTAGCAGGAGAGTGTTTACTCCTTCTGCAAAGTTGCTGCACTTATTGTGAAGAGCTGCCTTTGGGTAAGCGAGTGTTGCTTACATTCATACGTGCACTTCAGCTCAGAGCTTGTCCTTTTAATAGTCATCAAATATAATTAATGTTTGTAATGCTACTTAATGGAAACATAAATGCTCAGCACAACTCGTATAATCTCACAAGAAGAAGAAAATGAGTATATGAAGGAAAGCATCATCTATCTGCCTTAGAAATCTAACTGAAGATAATAGTTTTGAATGTTCAGAGTGTGTAAGTGTAGCCTCTTAATACTCTCTTTCTCTGTAGAATTAATCTGAGTGATATTATAAAATATCTCTTCCCAAATTAGCCTGGATTTATAATCTTATTTATTTCTACACAGAAGATAACTGACAGGGAACCAAATTGTCAATATGCATTTTTACCCATAGGACCCTTGTTCTAAACCTGGCTTAGAGATGAACTAACAAGTACTGAAATTAACAGTCTTTCCTTTCTTTTTCTTGAAAACTAGAGACACAAAATTTTCTAGAGAAATAGAGTTTGACAGCATAATTAAAATATGACTGCTACTATGAGTGGTCTGTATCCATCAGAGCTTGAACAGAACAGTAAATCTATGGTAAAGTTGTATTAAACCTTAAAATATTTAAACGGAGAAAATACTCAAGAAGTGTGAAAAACTACTAGGAAAACTATGCGATTTAGATGATTGTAGATGATTTATAGTCAATTTCTGTAGATTTTTTTAATCATTCAATATAATTCTGTCATAAATACTCCTTGTTCGTTCTATATATTTCCCAAGATACTTAACAATAAAATACATCACAACTTACTGTTACCTCCAGTGTTACCAATATTGCCTTATACATGAGCATGCTGTTAAGTGAAAGGAATTACATATGGCAGTTATTTGGACAATGAAAGAAATGTTGAGTTTTTGGTACTGAGGAGTAAAATATTTAAGTGTCAAGAATATGACATTAATTTAAATAATGTAAATATATAGAGACACATTATTTTGCTATATGGTAAATATTTACGATATAAAATAAACAATTTTAACAAATGAAAGTTGTTGGTATTTCTTCTTTAGCATGTGTCCTTTCACTTTGGAATGACTGAACTGAAATGCAACTGGTGCAGATAATTTCTTTCCTCTCCTGTTGTACCACAGGAAATGGAGCTGAAACAACAGAACTGGGTTTGGTGTGGACTGGATAATGTTGCTGTTACTTAGTCAGGAGGTCTGTGGAAAAGTCAGAAACATTGTGGGTTTCTGGGCTCTATTGCCACCTTCCATATTTTTCTACCTCCATAAAATGTAGTTAATAGGGCTTGATTATTACTGCACTGTGATGCCACCAGGATCAGTTCCTTAGGAACAAATTCAGAAAATATGAATAAGTGTGGATGTTGGCTGCTTTTAGAGATTTATGTCTATGCGAGGCTGAATTCCAGACATCTTTTTACTGCTCAAATTACTTTTTATAAAAAAAAAAAAGCAAAGAAATGAACTAGCGTAAGCAAAGAGGAAGATAGGGAAAGTCTGTGACGAAAATCTGTTGCACTGCACTTAACCAAGTGAGTCATAATGTAGGCTGTGATATTTAGAAATTGATCCTGTCTCGGTTATTGAGATTTCTCAGGACACATGCGGTTCAAAAAATAGCATGTTTCATGTCATCATCAAGCCAAAAGATTTGTAACATTTTCAGAAATCTAGAAATAAAAATACTCACTTTTCATTTGAGGAGTATTTTTAAAAATACTTTGGTTATTTAATAAAATGAGTAAATGTTGAAGTAATTTGAAATGTTGTGTAATTTAATTTTTTTAAAGCATGCATACATACATTTTAAATCTTCAAATTGGTCTTTCAGAGTTTTATCAAAGGTGGGGGTGTTCCATCAGAACAGTATTTCAAACTCATATTGGTTTTGCCAATAATGCAAACAGCATTGACCTAACTTAGAATCTTTTCAAAAAAACGAAATATATTTGTGATAAAAGTATTTATCATGCTGGTAGTGAAGTCCATAATAAGGTATCAGAGTGAAGTGAAGTGTGGTTTTTCATTTCAACTCACTTGTCAAGCAAGAATGGGCACTCTGAAATGAGAATTCAGAGGGATCGTGCATTCATTGACTAAGTATCCAACGGGAGAATGCTTTAATGTAGGTAAATTACATTCCAGGCCCTCGATAATTTCTTTAACAAATAGATGAGAAGTCCTAAAGTTTACACATATCTGCTTAGGAGAGATTTGGATTTCAAAATCTGAGAGACAGCAGCCAACACCGTGAAATACTGAGGAATAACGTACAGAGAGGCACGTACACAGGACAGCAGCACGGTGCAAAGGACGTCAGTTTTCAAAGCTGGTGGAAAGGCT